TGGAGGGGAGGGAGCCACCCCCCACCTGGACACACGCTGCTATAGATTACACGGTACTATACAATATAGTACATTGATTACATTAATAACTTGAAATTTTAATACCTTACTTATAAGTTTTACATTCTATACCTATCTACAAGAAATTACCTGTACATAATATATTTTTTTTATAAAAATATATAGCAGTATATATGGCCAAGTTCCTTGTACCAATTACTTGGCATTTCGCAATTCTCTTGTAGTTTCATAGTACTAAGTAAGTGCAAAGCCATAGTCGATAATTTATATTGATTTTGTTTTAACTTTATACTTATATCTTTTGACAGAGAACAAGTGAATGGAACGTCAGCATTGATGCAAAGGAGGTGAGTAAATCTTTTTTTATATTCGTTATATTGCGAGATAAATAACTTTTAATGTTATAATTATCGTACAATTTATAATCTTCAGCCTGACGAAGATAAGCTGGTGACGTCAGTAGCGATCCCAGCTTTTGATTACAAGTATAACGAAGACCACAACGACGCCCGCCTGCTGGGAGTGGCAGGGACAGATGTACCAATCGATAGTATTGCAAAACTGGCGCAGCCACATCAGGTTATATTTAATATTAATCGATTCCACATTTACAATTGTTATAGAAATAGTCGATGTGTCGCTTAGTGAAAATTGCGTTTTATTATTACTACATTATTCGAAATACGTTTGAAGTATTTTTTGTGTTAAAAAAAAATTCGAAGAAAATATACCAAGAAAAGTTTTTTTTTTAATTAATATCGACATTACTAGATTTATCTATTAGTTTTCTTTCTGTTCAATTAATTCAGTTTACAAGAATATATTGATTAAAATAATAAAAAAACTGAATTATCATATATTAAAAAAATCGCAATAACATCACAATGTATAAAAATATTTATGAGTAATGTGCACGTTTATTGCATATAAGGAAAAAAATAATCCTATAAAAAAAACTAAACGGAAACACAAAGCCAAAAATAAATTAATGTTCAATTTACTAAAGTTATAAACGACCTTGAATGAAATGGGATTTCATTACTTGATCACAAATTGCGTATAACGCTTTTTGGGAAATCAATAGAGGACGAGAAATAAAAAATAGCTTACGCTTACAGCTCGGCGTCAACGGATATTCGTTTATCGTGAGCAACAATGGATATCTCCTGCTGCATCCACTATTAATTACATCTGTAAGTGAACTTTAATTACATATATTAGAGTTGTTCATTTTGGATCATTCGGAACAATAAGAAACACTAATTTATCGCTAAGTTATATCTAATATAATTGCTTATTTTGTAATGTGGGTGACTTTGGGTAGACTCCGAGCCCCTCACTAGGAACGTTTAGTGAGCTGAAGATGATGATGTAATGCGGTGCCGAGTGAACATATCATCACGTTTAAATGTATCTTAACAAGATTATCATAAAGTATATGCACCTTGCGGTGTTTGTGACGTCTATACATACCTCTACATGCTACGTCGTAGTAAATTATATACTTTATAGATAAACGGCAACCTTCAAACAAACTACAACAGCGTGGACTTCGTGGAGGTGGAGCAGGTGGACGACGGCAAGGGCCCGCGCGAGCTCGGCGACGAGATCAAATCCCTCAGGGAACACCTCGTCAATGGCGATGAGGGGAAACAGACTGAGGTTAAGGTCCTCTTCCACTACGATAATATGAGGTATGAACTGACATAAACCTATCATAATGTATGTTTAATGACTCTCTTAGTATTAATATGAATTATGATATAATTATTACAGGAGAATAGCTCGTGTGAAGCACGACTACTTCTTCAACAAATTGGTAGGGACGCCGTTCTCTATGGGTATCTCTCTGCCCGGCGGCTACGGCGACACTGAGCTCCTGCTCAAGGACAACCCACTAGAGGCCAAGCAGGGACTCGAGGTCACCGGTATTAATGTTACCAGCTACTTTAATTTCAGTTACCGAGTACATCCCGATTGGTGAGTATATATCAATATTCATTTAAAGATCAATTTCTCTCTCACTCTCTATGTTTAAAAACCCTCTAAAAATTATAAATGTTCGCAGGGTTTATTGTAAATATCATTACCTAGAAGGACACGAGTCAGAAAACTCGGAGATCGAGATGTATAAGTTCTTAGTCAACATTTCAAAGAACGAGCTTAACATTACGAAGAAACAATACCGCGAAGAAACTGAGAGTAGCAACTTTGATTTTGAAAGTGAGTTATTAGTTCTTTGTCAGAAATATTCACAATTAAAGCTGTTGCTTGCTTTGGCCTTGTCTTACTACACTTTTTTATTGTTAAAATAATCCAATGTTATTCCATTTCAGAGCACTGCGGAGATGAAAGAGAACAACTTGGCAAAGATGACTACTATTGCAATGAAGATTTGGTGAAGCAATTGGTGTTCGACGCTAAACTGACCACGCCATACTTCGCCACGTGGTACGCGACGAGCGAGGAACGTAAACTGGCCAACGAATACAAAGTTAACGTACGCTTTATAGCGACATCCAGTGGCCTTACACGGTGGCACTACATCAATGATGATTCTAAGAACGAAAAGGTAACAGAACAAGGAGAGAAGAGCAGAACATTTGATGGCCAGCAAGTATCTTTTTAATTTGTCAATTAATGTAAATTACAGATGGTTGATATTAACGACTAATTGATTGTGACAAACATTGTTTAAGAGTAATTACTTCATTTTCTTATTGCAGAGTATTCGGCGACCTTTACCCGAAAGCTATTGAAGAGACATGGTACAAAGCGGCAGTACTCCAACACTTGATCAACGCGGAGTCACTGGTAGTAGCTACCAACTTGCCAGTTCTAGATAAAACAATTATCAACAAACCGAAAGTTGCCAACAACGACGGCGATATCACGATCACCGCGAGCTACGCCATATTCTACAAGGACGGAAACTCGGAAACACCAGCCTCGGTTGTTGGAGTCCAGTTCGTTTACTCTGGCTTCTACAAGAAGTTCCTGGAAATCACCAACACAACGACCGTTAGTTTACGTTAATTTTTGAATTTATGTTTTAATGACATTTAAAGAAAATTATGACTTTAAAGTGAGCATAATATAGAAAATAACAATTTCGATATTGTAAAATATCGATAATTAAACTGCTTTAGGTTGCCTCCTAAGATTTGATGAATTAGGACAGGTGAAACTAAATAAAAGCTAGTAAAATTGGGAAAGAATAAGGTCTACTTCTTCTATTCTACACAAACAGAATAATATAATATGAAGAGAATTCAAAGTAATCATTTACAACAAAATATTTGTTTCTTTTGCAGGAGTTCTCATGCACTGACCAGAAGTATGACTGTTACGTCATAGATAGTTCAGGTTACGTGGTGTTAGCGCATGACAAGGACGATGTCGGTAGATTCTTTGGTGTTATACATCCACATGTGCTGCAGTCGTTTATGGACAAGAACATATACGAGCATGTTGACGTCTTCAACTACCAAGCTCTGTGCCCGCTCTCTGCTTTGCCTGATATACCTAGTAACGCTTGGATATTTAGTACGGTATGGGACTTTAGAACACATAATTTTTAGCAGATTTTTTAATTTACTGATATTTCCTGTACTATTCCAACTAAGCTATATGCTTGTGCTAGGATATGGTTTACGACAATAGTCGAAAAGCGGGATTCGAACCCTCGACTACATGATCGGAAATCCGTATGCTTAACCATTATAACATTGACGCTTCTATTGAAAAATTGTGTAAGAGCACTTTTAAAATTGTGTAACTTTTTTGATGTAATCAGTCCATTTGACTTTAATCACACTAATTGCAATTTTATGAAGGACATTTTGTTTTCAGCCTTTCAACTCGATAACAAATTTAATACGATGGTTGACGGCAGAATTATTTTTGATACTATTTGATGTTGTAAATTGGCAGCGTAATGTATATGTTGCTGGACAAGATGAAGGTTAGTTCTTCAATACTTACTAATTCTATTATTTGATCTATATATATTTGTTAATTAACCAATAACACACAGGTACGACAATTCCTCCAGTCGAAGACGAAATAGAAGGAAGTAAAAACAAAGACGATGACAGTCTTTTCTCCTGTGATCATCGCATTAGTCTATATATTCTGAACCAGAGTTACTTCTTGGATTCCATTGGTCCATCACCAGCTGTGGTGGAGGACGAAGAGGGGGAGTGTCATCCACCATATTGGGCCGCATTGGTTACGAAGACCAACTTACTGCTTGTGGTCGTAGAGCGAGGACCTTGGCATTTTAAGGATACTTGTGAGAAGCCACCCGATACGGAACCAGTGGCGACCTCTAACTCCACCACCAATTGGGCGCCGTGTCACAAACTGGAACTGGGTCAACTGCCTAGGCGACGGCTCGAAGATTGTTTCACATACCATGATAAGGTTAAATAAATTTTATTTTACAAAGAGTACCATCTTTTAAGTGACATTAGAGATGTATGTCTTTACGTCAAACGGATGGTATTTATTGGTCTTTTAATAGATTTGATGAAAGTAAAAATAGTGCTTCTATTTCTTTTACCACACTAGGTGTAAGGATCATGAGATTTTTTTTATCATTCCACTATATTTTCAGGAAAGGAACATAACAGCATGCGGAATAGGTAGCAAAGTCCGCGTAGACCCGCCAGCCTTTGTTCTGTCTGCTATTATGGCGTTCTTCACCACGGCAATGCTACTACGATAAAAACAGAATTACATGCAGCGCATTTGTAACTTTCTTACTTTCGCAATAAAAGCTATTTACCCTTACCCCGCATTGTTATTTCCCATTGTTAACACCCTTGCAACACTGACCTAGTGGCATAATGAATAAATCGATTCCTGCCCGTACCGTACAGTGAAACCGCAAGTAAAAGTAACAATACATACGAAGATAACACGCACACACTAATACATTGATGGTAGCCGAATTGCGCGGTAGCGATAGCGTCAGTTGAAGTATAGGAGTGGAGAAGAGCGCATGTGCGGTAGCCACCCGCGACTGCGCTTTGAGTCCATCGGTCACGTTCTTATCAATTTGGGTGTACACCAAAGCTCCACGTTTTATCTTAATTCAACACTCAATTTGTGTGCTGGTAATCTTTGACTGTCTCATAAAATGACCGTGAAATTATATTAAACGTACAAGTGCAGTAGGGGGCCAAATTAGATTATAGTGTTTCTGATGTTCCACCGTATCGGCAGATTTGTGTTGTTAATACTCCTCATTTCCCTTGACTCCAAGGACTGTTCCGCCAGTGCACAATATGATACTGGTAACAAAATATCACTCAACAGGTAAATTAATTTGTTTTTATTAATACAATTATGTTAATTAACAGCGGCACTTAAGGCTCAATCCATTTGGGAACAAGTTATTTCCTTATTTAAACAAGACATCAATGCATTAATTCAAATTAATCTTAAAATAATGAGTTAAAAATTAAAAACAATATCCCGCATAGCTATTTTTATACGGCTACCTCCCTACGTCGAAGGCAAGAACATAATTCAATTGAAAACACGCTGTTTCAATTGGTGTTGTTACGTATTTATAGCTTAAATAAAAGATGTGAGTAGTAAAAAAAACATGTTTATGATTATTTATATCTTGTAGTGTTCAAGCCTGGGCTGTCAAGCTTGGCACGGAACTTTATCACTTCGGCGAGTTCATCACTAGAAAGAAAGAGGTTCAGGATGTAAGTAATTTGTTAAGATTAAAGTGTGTTTTAAATTATTTTACCCCTATATTCTGGAGCGCCAAGTACCCAAGCCAAGACAGGTTTGAGGTGGCGTGGGACCTGGGAAAGTGAAGATTCTTAGTGTATTAGCCCAATTTTTAAGCTTTTGGATCGCTGCACCCCTCTAGTTATCACCATGCTGGTGCTCGATCGTCGATATAAAGAAACATAAAACCTTCTAAATTCTGTTTAGTACATATTCAAAAAAATATAAGCATTTTCTTTTGAACCCATTGTTTTATACATGGTGTAGTATACTATTTATTTTAAGTTTCATTCACCTTCACAGAGTTTCAAGTCGGCGCAAATTGAATCGAGAGATGGCGAGAAGTTAGTGCAGAGTATGGCAGATGATATCCGCGCCATGATGGAATTAAAAATCAGCGCAGTCAAGAGAATAGTGGAGGCCGCTGAGAACATGGCATTCGATAAACAAAATGAAGTAGTACCTGAAGACTTTCAGTTCTACAACAGCAAAGAAATGGAAGAACCCTACGATGAATTAACGATGATAACCACAACGCCAGAACCCGATTTCAATCTAGAAAATTGGATAGTTCGTCCACCAAGTAAAAGTGCTCATATGCAACAGAATCCCCACTTTTCCAATATACCGGTCAACATTAACTTTAGTAGTGTTCATGTACCTACCAACGTCTATGCCTGGGGTAAGTGATGTTAATTACAATTCTAACAGATACAAAATATGACTACATTGTTTTGACAATTGTACGCTTTTGTATATGTACTTAAGACGTAATTATATATTTTAGCGCCTGAAGTCATTAAAGGCATCCATTGGTCGGAGGGATTGGACACGCATTTCATTAACAATTATCAAAGTGACCCGACACTGTCATGGCAATATTTTGGAAGTTCTTCTGGATTCATGAGACATTATCCTGGTAATCTTTGCTTCAATGATTTTGAATTTAATTCTAATTTAGTTTTGTTATAACTTAAGAATTATTTTATCGTAGCAATGAAATGGAGGGCAGATCCTGTTGATATTTATGATTGTCGGACGAGGGCCTGGTATATGGAGGCGGCGGCCAGTCCTAAAGACGTGGTCGTGTTAGTCGATCGCAGCGGATCTATGACCGGCCAACGGCGAGACATCGCCAAGCATGTGGTCACCAACATTCTGGACACACTGGGCAACAATGACTTTGTTAACGTTATGACATTTGCTGACACGGTCGAGGAAATTGTTGAATGCTTTGAAGATTCTTTAGTGCAAGTATGTACAGGTCTTTCTAAAATTTCATGCTCTAAAGATAACATTGTGTTAATGTTTGTCGTACTATTTTTAGGCAACTCTAGGAAACATACGGGAGTTAAAGTTAGCGTTAGATAATTTTGAAACTACAGAAATAGCAAATTTTTCCGCAGCGTTAACGAGAGCTTTTACGCTTCTTGAAATGTATAGGAATAACAGCGGCGGTGCGAATTGTAACCAGGTATGCACTATTTACTTCGAACAAATATATTTCTGATGTTACATTTCTGATTTGGTACGAATAGGATACGAGAAGAATGATATTATGCAATATTGCAGGCAATAATGCTGGTTACTGACGGCGTACCGTACAATTATAAGGAGATCTTCGAGGAGTTCAACTGGAAGTACAACACGCCCGTGCGCGTGTTCACGTACCTGATAGGGCGCGAGGTAAAGGTAGTAACCACTCCAGGTATTACTGCGTGTTGTAGTCATTGTGCGACCTGCATAATGTCTTCCTTATTCTTCCGACAGTAACCTTGAATGTGGTGCTCACTTCTTGTTCTCTTCTCTATCTCTTGCTATCCTCCTTACTAACCACCTTGTCCTAGGCAGCGCTCGCTTGCGTTGAGCGCCGCGCCAGTTGCTTGGGATAACGGTTAACCTTTGCATGAACTACTTGCTTATAACTAAGTATGTTGTCCTATATCCATCATCATACTGCTTTCGCTTATAGTTCTAGTTAGTATTTTTTGTACTGTTTTGTAACGTCTGAGTGAATGTTTGTTATTAACCTGTTACTGTTTGTGATTAATGTGTTTTCTGTTCTTACGTATGGGTTATTCAAAATTACTGTTAATTTAAATTAAATCTAAAATGTTTAAATAATGTTTTCTTAATCATTTTAATATTGACAGTGATTACAAAATGCCTCATATAATCATACTGTAATGTCCGTTTTCACTAGCCCTGCAAAGTTAAATAAATCTATGAATTAGATTAACTGGATATTTTTGTTAATGTTTTTTTTAGTGAAAATGGTCGTTACAGGTTTCTACTAGATTATAAAGTACTTACTAAAGTTACTTTATACACATAGTTTTTTTTAGTTTTTATTACTTTTAAATTGTAAGTTAAATTTAAATTATTATTATACTATTTCTTGTTAAATAATAATAAGTAGGCAAATAGATATTATGCGCTATGCGATTTAATTTACTAATTTTCATTTAACAAACGGCTTCTTTTTTCACAAGGCAGTCGATAAACATTGTTGCGAAATAACGCACTATATAGATATTAAAATGTCAACTTATCACCTGTACGTAATAATTTATGAAAGTTTGAGTTACAATTTTTTATGAGTTTTCAGTTATAATTCTTATGAGTTATAAGTTATATTTTATAAATGTTTAAATTTTAATGAGTTAAGAGCTCTGAGTGATGTGTACTCAGGTAGCAGATGTGAGGGAGGTGAAGTGGATGGCGTGCGCAAACCGCGGTTTCTACGTGCATCTAAGCACGTTAGCGGAGGTGAGGGAGCGTGTGTTGGAGCACGTCAACGTGTTAGCTCGGCCGCTGGTGCTGCAGAGAGAGAAACATCCCGTCGTTTGGACGCCCGTTTATGCTAACATTACTGTAAGTACAAAGGAAGAAGTTTTCCGGTACCGCCATTATCTGCTTAGCCATTTTGCTACCACAATATCTTTCATTAGGAAATTTTATACTTTGCTAAGACTGACTTCAATAAATTCCATTTGGGTTAAAATCGTAGTCTAAAATTTACATAACTTTCATTTGAATAGGATCCGAAGGTCGCTGATTACTTATGGGAACAACGGGAGAGAGCAGAGCAAAAGGAACGCTTCCTCAGTCAGAAAAGGGACAAAGTTCTCTTTAATTCGGAGAAAGAACAGGATCGAAGGTGGCGGATAACACAGGTATATTGAATAAACTTGTATATCTTGAAATACTTATCAACATATTTACAAACACTTAGAAATATTGAGGAACTCGTATTCTTCAAATGTTTTACAGATGAAACAAGGTCAGTACAGCGAACTGGGTAACTCTCAGTACCAACTGATGACTTCGGTCTCCATGCCGGTCTACGATCTGCGTCACAACGAGGTGAGTTCGAAAAACAAAAAGTACTGAGTGTTTTTTTTTATGTCTCAATATTTCTTTTACATGTATAATTAGGGCATAGGGCAACATCTCCATAATGGCCGAACATTTTGTGTAACTATAATTGTGCTTTTAATCTCTAGATGTTGTTCTATGTGCTCTTCAATTGCAAAATGTCATTGTGAATGTTTTCCAAATTCAAAAATTTTAATTGTGCATGCCTAAATTATTGTGTTAATTTAAATTTTTGAAAGAATCAAATAGCCACAGATTGGTTTTATATTTTAACTGATTGGGAGAAAGCCGCTGTTACCGCTATAGTTTGCGGACTGTCTGTTTAATATAAATGTGTAATAATGTGCCTTTTTAATAATAATCAGTTTTGTTTAATGGTTTCCCTCAGAACATCACAGAGAATGTACTGATAAATGAAGCTTACTGGGTATCAGTTACAAAAGAGGTACTACACTTAGTCAGTTTTGATGATTTTAATGTAAAGTTTTTGCAAGATACGAGAAAGTTTTTATGATTTAGTTTTTTTGAATTTCAGTAACGGTAAAGTCTTATTTGGCCCCGTTAGCAATGCATCTGTCCTCGATAGATGTTGGCCCGCGGCCGAGCCGCGCCGCCCGCCATGGCCGCACAGCCCACGCCCAGTGCCCAGTGCCCACGCGGCCCGCGGCCGGCCCTGTGTTGTTCCACCCTTTGGCTTTCTGTAGTGTTGTAGTTTCTACTAGATCGTAGGAGTAGACCACTAGGGTGTTATGATCGACTTTTCTATCATATATCAAGTTAATTATTTCCGTGCAAGAAACATAATCTATATTACACACACTTTCTGATAAACAAGTAAAGTAAATTTTGCTTGAATCTAGTAATGTCTTCGTAGAGACATTTTTTAAAGATTGACTTGTTACGAGAAGTAAATGTAAATATTTTTAATAAAGTATCGTGCAGCCCGAAATAAGACTTGTATGGGGCTTTTACTTGAGTATCGTGTTCAGTTTTACTTATTACGACTTTTGCATTCTTTCCAATGATATGACTTTTCATAATATATTGACGATTTAGTGTAAATATAAGTTTTCTCACTGATGGAGGAGACATTTTGATTTCTAGAGCAGGTTGTTACAATGCATTTATCTATATGTTATTATATTTTATTGCATTCGTTCGTCCACAACCAATCGCAGTCCGTAGAGGAGAACGGCCAGAAAGAGGTAGGCCAAAGCTCTCATAGACTTGTGTGCCTGGAGACGGATGAATGTGCTACTTGATTGTACAACAGGACTTTTATTTTATTATGTTTATTATTGGTGTTTTATATTCTAAATATAAATAGCATTCTAAATTCGAAAAATTATTAAATTATAATTGGTTAAGGAGCATCAGACTTAAATTTCGTTTTGTTTATATTAAAAAAAAATGGGGAAGGGCATAAAATTGATAACTTATAATTATTTTATTAATCCTACGGAAATAACATTTGAACATAAATAAAAATAGCATAAAACGAGTCCTGATATGACTTTCAACTTTATACGCACTTTCATTTACATTTCGTGTTCTTTTTTAAAAGAAATCTTCAATAAAATATGTGTAATCAATTTGTATAACTTTGACACTTTCTTACGAGGATATATCAATGAAGCTCCTAACAAAACAACAATACTAGTGAGTTCAGTTCTGGGTATACGAATGTAGTTATTTTATTATATAATATGATATTTAATTTTTTGATTGAGTAGATTTGCTAGAATCCTATAATTACAAACAACGAATTAGTATCCTTGGAAATATGTAGTTTTATAATTGTAATGTCCATAGATATCTAACGGGGCGTAGATGCTATAAAAATATTGCTAGAAATTAATTAAGAAACGTTTTTTTAATAATTATTATATATAGTAGATTTATTATGTGATCAAGAAATCATGTAGATAGTGTTATTGCTAAAACAATAGGTTTCATTGTTAAAAATAATCATTATCTAATGATTAGATATATTTGTGTGTTTCTAATGGTACATAGAAAATGTATAAAAGAGATGATAAATCATTTTAATTAGTTCTTAGAATAGTTGAAGAGAGTAACTGAACAATTTTTACAATGTATTTAAACACTTACAGATGAGAATTGCGAAGCTATTAGGCGTCGCGGGAACAGATGTCCCACTTTCGGAAATACAAGCATTGATGACTCCATACAAGGTAATTTCGATACTGTTAACTGTATATACTGAAAAACAGTATCCCGTTGTATTAGGAAAGAAATACAAGTACTGTGACACTGGATTGAGCTGAATAGAAATTTCCAATCTCTGTCTCCCCTTTTTGGTCATGGGCATGATTGTTTTATTTTATTTACTTCAGATCGGCGTGAACGGGTATGCATTCATTGTGACGAACAACGGCTACGTTCTTATTCATCCAGATTTAAGGCCCGTAGTGAGTAACACATATTTTAAAATTTTTAATGAACAAACATTTTTTAATGATTTTTTAACTCATTAGTTATAATTTTTTTAATGACTGATTTCCAAATTTTATTAAAAAAAATGTTGTAATAAAATTTTCTTCTGTGTATAGTTTCAGCAGATCTTAAAACCGAGTTACAACAGCGTAGATATGTTAGAAATTGAATTATTCGACGACGACCGAGGTCCGAGAAACTTTAGCAGAGAATTAACAGCGGTGAGATTAAACTACATATTATTTTAATGAAATATTTTTAATGTCATTAAAATGTTTGATTAGTAAGTATAATATTTTTGTTTCAGTTGAGAAAGGAAGTAATTGATCAGAAAACGGGGAATAAAGCTATGAACGTTAAATATCATTTAGATGATATGGTAAGTTTTAGTTACATTTAAGTAAAATTAAAAAATTAAACATTGAATTTTTTTGCTTAAAGTTACAAAGTTTTACTTAAGTGAGAAAAAGAAAAAAATCTTACAAATACAGTTCATAACGTATCAATTCAACTTCCCCTCAGAAACGCGTATCTCGCGCGAGAAGACATATGTATTGGACCGGCATCAGTGACTCCCCCTTCACACTGGTGGTGACCATCCCTGAGGGTTACGGCCGCCATCGCGTTACACCGCCTCCCACTGACGACATCCACCGACTCTCGCTAACCTCTAAAAATGTATCCGCCAGACAATATCTCTCTGATAAATGGAGCGTTCACCCAGACTGGTTAGTGATGGTTATTTGAAAAAAATCGATAGTGAAATCATACCGCTTTTTTCATATTCTCACAACTATTCGTCTTTTTCTTAAAGAATAGATTGAATAGGCAGTTGCTTAAAAACATAGCTCGCTATGTGTATAGACTTATCACCTTACTATTACTAACTTCATGTATAATTGAATCGAGCGGTAGATTATTCAGTAATAAAATAGTTATTTTTTACTTGCTTATTATCCAGGCTTTATTGTCGACACTATGAACGTACTTTCTCAACTCCGGAAGAAGAATTGCTGTATTTCTTGGAGCGAGTGGCCAAGCCGGGCTGGCGCTGGCCCGCAAAGCCACGCCCACCTGAACACCACAAGAACAAACCTGGCCATGAGAAGCATACTAACGGTAAACAGAATAGATTATTCGCATAATTTAATATATGGACGTAGTAACTTACTTCTATATAAGGACTGAGAGTAAAGTTCACTTCGGAAGGTCAAGTCAATTGCAATTGCACTGCCGTTAATTTTCATTAAAATGTATCATATTATCATACTTCGTTGCTTTTAGTAAATCAGGTTAATTTAACAGGGACTCCAGACGCCAAGGAGAGGAACAAAGCATCGAATACGACGCCACGAGTGGAATATTATTGTAAGTTACATTTTTAAATATGTTTTTTTTTATTAAAATCTTATAAAATTCAATTTCTCTAAACCCTGGCATAAATAATTAAAACCTTCGAATCGTGATTAAGGTTCAATTATTGGGTTCGATAGTTATTCTATTATTTTTATTATTAATTATAAATAAATTCTAGGTGATCACGGACTAATGCAGGCTTTGGTATACGACGCAAGAAACACCGCCTGGTTCAATAAGAGCATTTCTGATTCGGCGTCAGATGAGAAAGCGTAAGTGTAATTTTTTTTAAATCATTTAGAAAAAATACTGGCCAAAAGAGACATACCATATTGTCTCCGGTTAAAACACTTTTTAGTGTTGCCTCAATGATCTTAAAAAAATACTGAAAAGCATAGACAAAGCATTGAATGAATTATAATAACACCTTGTGGCTAGAGAATAAATAAATGAAATTAAGAAATTATTTAAGTTATTTGTAATGATATTTGTATATTTATCACTGCACGTTTTGTTTTCGACACACATTACTCACTTTGCACCAACATTTTATGTTAACTTGCCTGGATAGCCCATTGACAAAAGTGATCGGATTACTGCCGAGGTAAAGTATTATTGAACAAAAACAAATATACTGCATGCCTGTGATATAAATATTTACTATGTGTTTAATTATAATATATATTGGTATGTTTATTTTATATGTGTAAGATATGTAAGATATGTCGATCCGATATCAAAATTATAGAAAATAAAAAATTAAAATGGTGATCATTTTAATAATGGAGAATTTTTTTTATAAATGTCATATCATTTGGCCTACTTTAGATATAATTTATTAAATTCTCCATGAAATATATTTACTAACACCAAAAATTGCAAAATGTTTGTTGTAATGTGTATAATTTAAACTACCCTTATAAAATACTTAAAACTTATAAAATCTTTGACAATTTTTATAGCCTACATAATTAACTAAATAGGTTTAATATGTTTCATTGTGATATTTCTCTACGCATCCCTGGAAGTAAGTAATACAAATATTTTCCAATTATGTAGCTAATAAAGCAGCTTCAGGAATATTTTGTAAGTATAAGAGTAAGTATAAAAATATATGTATGCTAACAGGGTTACACATGTATCGACTAGAATATTCAGCGACAAAATTGAGACGGTATAAATATTTTATTTGATCGATTTTCAACTCGATGTTACAATAACCATTTGATTGATTGTTTTGACGTTAATAAATTAATCAATAATTACATTACTGCATTTAATTAAAAACAATTTCGCTCGGATATTAACTATATATTTTTGTCCGTAGAGCGGAATTCATCCAACGTTTCGGGTACATAGTGGCGTTCCTCGCGACTCATAGTGGCCTCACGCGCTGGCAGACACACCCGCCCAGGGAACACGAACCCGACAAGTAAGTCATGTACAAACGAAATCAAGAATGTTCTCCTTAACTCTCTGATAGTCCAAGGTAGCTACCCAAGAGTCCAGTAGCCCACTGGAATAGAAATATTTTGATGGAATGAAATGGAGAATAATCTATGGATTATAGATATTGTCATAGTATATGAATATTATAGAAAAGGGACATAGATTATACAGGAGACACAATTGGTAAATCTACAGATCTAAAGCTTTCTATTTCTTTAACATTAAAGACCAGAGTTCGGCAAGCAGTTCCCTCGTGCGATAGACGAGGTGTGGTACCGTCGTGCGGTTGAGCAGCATTATGCTGAGCCGTTGAGCTACGTATACAGTGTACCGTTGAGCACGCCGCGCGCGCCGCTTAATGTGAGCGCGGCACTAGTGACGGCCGCTCACGCCGTGCTGCATGGTGAAGGACACCGCAAAGCTCCCGCCGCCGTCGTAGGCTTCCAGTTCAAACACGAACGACTCAGCGAGTGGTTCGAGAACATCACCTCATCGGTACGTGCACTTCCTTACTACTAAGTACTTTATCAACATAATATTAATTTTATATGCATATTATTATTGCAGTGTGAACACAACAAGGAGTGCGTGACGTGCCTGTCCGACAACTGGGACTGCTACCTGGTGGACAGTAATGGCTGGATCATTGTCAGCGAGGACCCCTCGCAGACCGGACAGTTCTTTGGCAAAGTACGACTACTTTATTCATTATAATATAAATGTATAAATATTACATTCATCAATTATATTCATAATGTCCTACGTGAGGATTCAAGAATCGTCTAATTTTTTTTCGAAAGAACATGCAAATGTATTGTATTATAACTATGTGCTGCTTCTAGTGGGAACACATGTAAGGATATTAATTTTACAGTTCAGGCCAGACATAATGCTGCGTCTGGTGGAGGACGAGGTGTACCGCACGGTGCACATCGTCGACTACCAGGCGGTTTGCTTCCGCGAGAAGAACACCACTAATCCAGCATCGATTTTAATAACGGTAAGACATGTGATATTGTCAAGGTAATTTGGTCTATTATCTTATCTCAGTACAACCAGGCTTCGTATCAAAAAATCCAATTGAGAGACCTTAGTATAATTTACAGCAAGTAAATATCTGTATTTATTTGGACCACTGCTTGATTTATTGTAGATGTAAATGCAACCCCAACAAAAACAATTGAAGTTTTTATAGCTCTTCAAACTTAAATATAATCGGCATTTAAATGTTTTCAGCCTTTAGAAAACCTGCGATTGATTTTAGCATGGTTTATAACAACCACAATCTGGACATACAACTCTATTAGTTCAACTTTAGCGCAGGCATCGAGTTACTCATTTGATGACGGTAAGACTCTGAAGCTACCCCTATTCACAATGACTATACAAAGGTTTTTAACTTCAATTTCAATTTTTACAAATCAAATTCAACATTTTAAAAATAATGTTCGGATACTTTTTAACATTCATGACTTTTAAACTAAAATTCAAACTTTACGATGTCAATTTGATGTGGGTTTCGAGTGTAGGCGATTTCTAGTTTTGAAATTAGAAACAAGAGAATGTCAGAACTACGCCAGCTGGGGGACCGCGTTCTCTGCCTACCCCTCTGGGTTACGGGTCTGAGTTATGTTGTTGTTTTAAAGTCCGAATTTAATTCTGTAAAGATTAAAATTGTAAAAGTTTTAATCTGAGTTTGAAATATGTGAATTTGCTTTGTAAAAATTGAATTTAAAGTTAAAATTCTATATGTGTTCCGATTAATTCCTTCTAGAAGATTCGCGATTGATGTTGCTCTTGGGCATTGTCAGCATGTTCTGTGCAATTTGCATGCCAGGGCGGGGGCACTATGCTGATACAATATAGTCAAATATTAGCTTAATTTTATACATATAATTATATCCTGCGTCTTTACCCGCTACTATCAAACTATGTTAATTATGAATTAAAAGAAATATCTGGAATTAGCTGTAATAAAGTAGGTACTGCGTTGAAACGATTCTTTTAAATTAATTATAGAATAAAAAAGGTTAAAAATTAAAATGACAAATAATTAGGAAAATTAATTGGCGTCAGTCACCCTTGACTTAGGGTAGGTTCCGAGCCCCTCAGTGGGGACGTATAGTGAGCTGATGACGAATTATTTGGCACTATATTTTATCTAATATTCCTTAACAAATTCACAATGGCTACATGTGAGTGCACACTGGAAGAAATTTGAAAAAATTAGCTGAAATCAAAATTAAGTTAATGGAGTCATATTGGACGTAGTATGTGTTTTATAAAGTAGTAATGGCTCCATCTTGTTTTCAGAGTATGTAACACCCACCGGTGAGTTCATAGACTGAGCACAGTAGCGTCGCCAAACGGCACTTTATTGAACTAATCCAGTATTTGGATTTCAATATTCGCCTCGTAGATATAATATGGTTCCTGAATGCGCATGGATATTTCTATATTTTTAAATACCCTCAAACATCTAAAATCATTATCAAGTTCGGCCATACATTGTATAATAAGAATTAATAAAATATAATGCTTTATTGTGACACTCATTTACATACATTTTGTGAGCCTTGGCTCCTGAACTATGTTGCTCTGTGGTTCAGGAGCCAAATGATTTAAAACTACATTCAAATGTATTATTATCATAATCGTTGTGTCATTCATAAGATAAATGTAAAAGTTATTTGCGCTATACTAATTGTAACATTGTAGTTACGTTACTCGATGCATGTTATTTATGTATTTCAATGTCGCTTCTGTTATATACATATATACAATTACATATATAAATGGTGAGTATTTGAGGGCAGCTTTATCTTGGGTACATATAATAAATTGCTCGTATTTTTCCAACTTAAGGACCGTTTATCGTCGACTCATGTCGTATTTTCAGCATGACTATATTCAACGAAGTTCGTCTTAAATACTGTAACTTATTTTGCTAAATGCCAGTCTTACGTTTCTATGTATTAATACATGGAATTTATTTTGAAGGTACATAAGTAAATAGAAATGATTGTCAGTATAGCTAAATAAGTTACGTGACTCTTTGATTACATATACTATAGATTAATTATATGGGGGGAAGATGAACATTTTACAGCTGTATAAGGAATTTCTGCATAGAAAATGCTTCTATGTTTCCAATATAATTAATCAATGGTCAATTAAATTTATTTTCAGCGATCATCAAACTGCATGACCGAAAAGTTACTATCGTTTTTGTCTAACATTAAATTTATTACAGTCGCGTACCAGAATTACGAGAACGATGAGGATACTGACGACCCGTACATGTCGCGGCAACCTTCTAGAATCATGGAAAGAGATTTCGAAAAGTTGGTCCTTATAAACCGGACAAGACCAACGCCTTGCGATCGAGAAATGTTCCTCTACCAATTGGAATACAAAAATATAGACGAGAAATTAAATAGACCTGTCAAAGATTGTGAGAGACCATTCTACGCTCAGCTGGTGAATTATACAAATATGTTGTTGATAGTCGTTGATGCGATGTGCCCTAAAGTTGAGGCGTCCATTTTATCGATAGAGCCCTCCGAAGTGCAATACAATGAATCTCTGCCGTGTTTGAAACATAAGCATCCGCTTTACAGACGACAACCGACATCGTGTATAAGAAATCATACTGAAGTGAGTTATATCTTTATATATATAATTCTTCTGTGAGTGTGTATGTCACTGAACTTCTCTCAAACGACTGGAGCGATTTTGATGAAATTTTTTGTGTGTGTTCAAGGGGATCTGGGAATGGTTTAGATTCACAATTTTCATCAAATATTAACTTCATATTAATTTATTCAAATTAAAGACTTGTAGACAGGACAACGTCTGTCGGGTCCGCTAGTTTCTAAATATAATTAGTTATTCTTACATTTTCAAGGAGCACAATAGCCATATAGACGACGTAACAGAAGACCGAGAATCGCAGTTGTTATTAAGAGTCACAAAGAATCAAAGAACAAATTGATAAACAAAAGATGGTTAAACTATAGATTTCGTGATTATAAAACATTATACAACACTCTTGTTGCTGTTGACTAGAACCAGTCCTTAAATATGTCTAAACGTAAATAATCAAAGTATGTATTCTGTCTGTCTGTATTTCCAGGAAAGCAACATAGATATGTGCGGTCGCGGCAGTCTGCCTCAGAAGAACTTATTCTGGTTACCATTAGTTGCTTTAATGTTGTATAGTTATTTAACGTAAATGCAGATTTAAAACAAAAACTGATACAAAATAGAAAAAAATCGATATTTACAAATGTATTAGCAAATTATGGATATGTTATTAAATCAAAGTAGATTCGCTAAAGTTTGTTAATAATTAAAATAGTCTATTTAGAAAACTCCAAATACATTTTTAAAAAGTTGATAAATAATAGGATATTCTTCTGTTTACTTAGTATATCAATAATTAAACATGTCGACATCACATATCATTAAGAGTAGATAGATTTAATTCCCACTTTCAATAAAAGCTCCAAAGGTGCCAGATTAATCTCGTGTACCATCTACCATATCAATAATTAATCGATATTATTAATTCTATGATAATGTTAAAAAAAATCGTATAAATAAGTTGGTTGGTACAATAATTAATTGTAATTAGCTTTTGTAACAAATCAGCTTCTCACTTTTAGTCATTAAAATTCTGATTTTTAGTCAAAATATTTTACATCTTTGATTAACTAATATAAGGTTAATCTTTGTTTCCGTCCTGGCACGATTTTATTTCTTTTTACTGGGATGGAATATTCTTTGAATTTATTCTTATTTATATACCTTTTATGCATTGTTAATATTCAAAATTATTGTTTTATGTATTCTAAAGTTAGATTTAATGTCTTTTTAATCTTTGCCTTTTATCTATAAACCCAATTTTACATATTTCCTTTGTATTTGATTATTGTAATTGTTCATTTGGTACAAAATAAATATTTGTTGTCATATTTAAATCTTTTATTCAATACACTAAATTCTATATTGGAAAGACTCAAACAAATAGCATCAATTTAATTCTAAAATCATTTTATTTGTAATACTACATAAATATTTTTTTAAATTTTTATCTTAAGACTTTTGTTTTTGTTGATTTATAAAATCATTAATTTCAGCCATTATTATTTGGTACCTTTGGTGCCGGAGCAGCGATGTTTGCAATTGCTCCAATGGTTCTCCACCTTCCATAAAACCCTTCAGATTGTGTAGACTTCCACCACCATCTCTGTGCTCCGTAACACGATCTTGTGGGTAGTTATATGTCCTTATTTTCTCATTTCTATTCATTGAACCGACCTGGAAGTTGTAAAGAAAACATAAGTTACTTAATAGTCTAACTAGAATTAAGTAATATACAAATTTTACAAATGATAAAAGGATAGTATTTTCATGGGTATATGTGGTAGAAAATAAGCAAATAGACGGGCTAGAAAAAGCAAGTTTGCAGTATTTGGAAATAAAATCAAAATATAGACTATAATAATTTTAGTTTCAGCTTTAACATGTTGAATTCTTTCTTGGCCAGTTTTTGTAAAAGTCACAAAAAGGACACATGCTATATGATGACAGCTTTATTTGGTTTAAATTCTACTCTGAAATAATAACCTGTGATTTCCGTTCAGAATTAATTTTACTGGACTGCTCTTCTAATTGCTTTTGTAGTAACAATGTCCTTAATTTTTGCATAGCGATCTGTTTGTTTTTAATTTGCGATCTGCCCTCTTGGCATTCAACAACTGTTCCAGTAGGTATGTGAAGGATTCTAACAGCACTGTCAGTTGTGTTAACATGCTGGCCGCCTGCACCACTTGCTCTCTTCGTTTCTATTGTTAAATCACGATCAGGAATATCCAGTTCAACCTCATTAGGCTGTGGAAGGACCGCAACTGACACAGTACTGGTATGTATGCGACCCGCTTTTTCGGTTACCGGAATCCTTTGGACACGATGAACTCCTGCTTCCATCCTCATTAATTCGGGGACACCAAAACCATTGATAAGCATTGACCCTTTTCGTATACCACCAATGTCAGATGGTTCCAAAGATGCTATATCAACTTCCCAATCCTTGTAATTAGCATAAGATTCATATAAAAAGAACAGTTCTCTTGCAAATAACATAGCTTCTTGTCCACCTGCACCGGCTACAACTTCCACCATCACACCTCCTTCTGTCAAATAAGGTTCTAATAGTATAGATTGCAGCTCATTGTCTATTTCTTTGATACGCTTCAAATACAATTGAGCCTCTTCTTTAATTAATTTTTTCATTTCGTCATCTTGAGCATCCCGTTTATTTAGTTCCTTTAGCGATTCGATACTGTCGAATAACGCAATCCTTTGATCAAGTACACTCACTATTGGTTTTATTTCATGAAGTCGTCTTGCCTCTTCCATCGTTCGTCGAGATTTTGTATGTAAATTGTCATGTTCAACCATTAAACTTTTAAGAAATGTCTGAACTGCTGGGTCCGACAAATTAATAGTGTTTTGAGAACTGTATTTTCGATATAATAAGACATTTTCGACTTTAAATATTGATCGTAAAGAAGAAAATCGTGATAACATTATTTCAAACTATTCTGTGTTCAAAATGTAACGTTAACAGCACAAAATTTCTGGTTTATAAACTGAGGCTATATATGCGAATATATTTAAAACTTAAATATAATAAAACATAAACATTGAATAACCTGGAATTCAATTTTTGACATTGTTTGACATTCATTACATGACACCTGACAATGACACTGACGGCTGCTGGCAGTTTTACAAAAAAAATCTGAACAAATTAAAACAAAATCTATGAAAAAGAAATAAAATCACAATCGCAAATAAAAATTAGTTTAGCTTGTTAAAAAAAATAGTTCTAATTTATTACTCCCAAGTAGGGTTGACGACTGCCAGGCCCTCAGCCCTACAAAATTAAAGCAAAACATTAAGGTTTATCAAGTATGCGCGGACCCCACGTGAGTTGGATAAGGCTAGGTAGACGATGATGTGATTGAAATAGTGTTAATTGATTATGGCGTTATTTATAATAAAGCCATAATCAATTAACACTATTTCAATTATTTAATAGTCCAAAGTGGAAAGCGACTTTTAAATAAACGTTGAGTAGAGCCATCTGTTGCTGAGTAGACATAATACATAAAACCAGTTGTGACGATTGATTTGTAAAAAATAAAATACTTATTATTTTGCTCATTGCTATATCTTATAATTATAAATTGAATTTAGTCATTGATAGGATGTATTTAAAATCCAAAGGTCGTCGTCACTAGCTGTCGCCCGTGTCTCTGTCCGCGCGGTTTTAAAAATAAACTTAATAGTGGCCTATGTTTTCGTTCAGATTATGTTCTACATCTGTGCTAAATTTAATCGAAATCCGTTGAACTGATACCTTCTAACACACATCCATCGAGACATTCAAATTTTTAGCATTTATATTACTATAATACGAATCGACCTTAGGCATATTCATAAAGTTCATGCCAAATGAATCTATTTTATGATGAGACTTTTGGACTGGGTTCAACCTGTACAATATAGTACTGATTATTATGCTTAAATCATGCGCTTGATATTTTTTTTTTATATCATAAGGTGGCAAACGAGCGAGCAGGTGGCCACCTGAAATCGCTGAAATAGCGAAGTTGCCCATAGACATACGCAATTGTATATGCGTTGCCTACCTTTAATCGATAGAGGAGAGGATGCACAGAAAGAAAACATTTCCATGCATCCTGTCATCCGGAAGGTCCACTTCCACTTCCCATCCTTACCTTATAAGAAAAAGGGTAGGAAGGGAAAGATGACTAAATTAGGCCTCCGGAACGCACACTCATCACACGAAAGGCGGAATTGCTTCCGCTTCACGCCTGGCTGCTGTGTGGTCGTGGTATTTCACCGGGCGAGCCGGGCCAATTCGTGCGAAGATGTTAAAGCGGGCTCTACCACTGTTTTAATTTAAACACGAATAAATAGGTTACAAATACAATATTTTTATATTATAATAAAAGTAATGATAGGTCAGAAGTCAGAAATTCGAACAATTTTACAAGTTGTTTACCTCTAAGTGTTTATAATTATCAGTACTTCCTGTGCCAATTGTTGCAGCAAGTGCAAGACGAAGTTAAACATTTTGTTCTGACGTGCGATTACCACATTGACCACAACGATTCGCCTATTGATAGAATTATTAGGGCGGCACAAAGAGAGCCCGTTGCAAACCGCAACGTTTTTATGTTGTTTCACATTCTTGTAGGGCAAGTATGGAGTTATTAGTGCTAATGACCAACGGACAGACGGACAGGCTATTGTGTTATTACGACCACTTCCTTTCTCCGCGGAGGCTTTAGCGACTATAAAAGGTGAGCCTTTCAGTAACCTTGTAGCGCACTTTAGCTGTAATTTCTTTTGATAAGCGTCAGTTATTTTGAAATTGTTTAATGTAGTGAATATTTTATAAAAAGTAGTCATATTCTCTAACCAATGTACACTCCCACACGTAATTCCTACCTAAATGTGGATCAGTAAATCGAAATTGAAAAGCACTAACTCATAATTAAGTAGACAAAAGGAATAGAATTATTTGTACAAAATTAAGTTATTAACAAATTATGACAAGTCGCGTCTAAATATAAGGGTGGCATCAATCTAAATTGACCTTTTACCATCATATTACTTACAGCATTTAAAATTATGTTCCACATTCAATATTCATAGATGGCATTTCATTTGACAGGAGAAAATATGGCGGATTGGCGGGAATAGTTTCCCGGTAAAACGCTCGCGGGCATTTTGACAGACAATCGATACGACACAACGTAGTACACAACCCTGAGTTTCTACTGGGATACATGGTAAAACATATTGGTACCTCTACATTTCTTCATGAGTATGAGAGAGATAACAAGATTATATTGGTTATGGTGTCAAAAGTGGAAACAAACGACACAGTAGCGTTACGATGTCTGTGGTCGTTTGTTCAAACGGCATTGAATTAAATTGATAGCGCCGTACGCGATAATGGAAGCTAATGCAACATAATTACAGACAAGCGAGCGAGTCCAGCTAGCACGTAACCGTCACTCATTAATTTAATGAATAAATTTGTCCTGTCAGTTGAACGTAAAGAGCATACAAAACAAAATCATTGTCTATGGGTTTGTTTCACGAATGTAAACGTAGGTACTGGAAACGCAATGCACGATATTTATGAATTGACTTATATTATATTTATGAATTACCTATTTATTAACATATTTGGCT